TGCTACTGGGGTGGACCTGTCATCTCCTTCTGCACGTTGTGTTGCTGCATACGCCCCGTATGCTGGGTGTCAGTTGACGTGGTGGTCAATGCCTATGCCACAGTGAGTCTTGGTGATAATATCATGTTATAAAAGAATAATAAATACTCTGAAATATGCAAAAAAATGTCATAGAGTATTTAACAAATAATATATTTTCTTGAGAAAGGTGTTATCTGACATCAATTAAACTATTAAGTGGCAGAGAATTTTGTTTTGGAGTTACTCTAACATGTGTAAATTGCTTTTATTCATAGTAAATATTTTGAAATGTGATGCTGGAAAAGACTTTGTGTTTCTTTGTTTAGGTGCACAACACTTAGTGTTCATTTTAGAAAGTGTGTATTTTCCTTTTGATTCTCTGTCTCATATAGGAAAAACTTGTATGTTTTTGAGTGATACTCAAGAAATTCTATCGATTATAATATAAAGTTTTACTTTATATTTATTTCTTTTTTCTTCTTAAAATTTCTGATTACCATTATATGATAAAGATATTCTAGCCAAGTATCCAATTACACGTTGAACAATAATTTCTTTTAGCACTTTTTGTTTATTCTGTTTCTGCTCTACATAAGCTGTGAAGGTTTTGCTTTCACCCTTGTGGCTTCTCTCTGTCCTGTCTCACAGATTTTTATTTTGTATTTTCTGTGGTGTTATGCATTTGACTGTTACTGGAGTATTGATTTCTTTTTGAAAAAGTGCAATTATGCTTTTATGGACACATGTTAGGCTTTCAATTGTAGAAGCTGGTAAATCATTTATTTTATTATTGTCATCATTTTTTTATACTTTAGAGATGTAACTAAACTATTTTCTCATTGTATTTTTATTGATCTATAATTATATTGTATTTTTATCAGTTTAATTTGATGATTTTAATTCTTCTCATTATTCTATTTCACTAATCCTTTTATCAGCTGATCTAATTTAATTTTAATCCAAATATTATACATTGAATTTATTTATTTTTATTGCTTGATTTCTGCTTCATTTATTTCCAAATATGCTTGTTCAGTTTACAATTTCTTAATTTTTCAAAATCATTTTGATTTTCTATTTTGTCTTATTGACTTAAGTTTAACAGATTTTTTTTTTTTTTGAGACAAAGTCTCACTCTCTTGCCTGAGCGTTAGTGCCGTGGCGTCAGCCTAGTTCACATCAACCTCAAAGTGCTGGGCTTGAGCAATCCTTCTGCCTCAGCCTCCCAAGTACCTAGGACTACAGGAATGCGCCACCATGCCCAGGTAATTTTTCATGTGTATATATATATATATTTTATTTGTCAAGCTAATTTCTAGTTTTTAGTAGAGATGAGGACTCGCTCTTGCTCAGCCTGGTTGAACGCCTGAGCTCAAACAATCCTCCTGCCTCCGCTCTGAGAGTGCTAGGATTAGAGGCGTGAACCACCACTCCCCACATGTGTGATCTTTTTAAAGATAAAATGTGAGCATACAAAAATAATTTATGTGTTCATTGGAAAATTTAAGATTATACTCCATGACTTTTCATTCTTTTCTCCTATAAGGCGTATATGTGGTACATTAGTGAGAAAAAGAAAATGGAGCCTAGAAATTGGTCATGTGTCTCCCTCATCCTTTTGGTAGTTGACCCTGATTATGCAGTACAGCCTCTTCTACATGTGAAAATGCTTAGATAAAGGTTTCCACGATGCAGTCCTGAACCTTCTCAAGGTAATTCTCAAACTCAAATTACTGTTTCTTTTTTTAAAAGTATTGTACACGTGTTCCCGGGTTATTGGAAGAGATACAGTCCTGAGAACGTCATTAGGTTTCATTTTATGTTCTCAGATCCTGGTGAGCAGCACGCAGGCAGTGGTAACAGCACTCTAAGGGCTCACGTGTGGTAAGAACATCACAGCTGTTAATACTGTAACAACAATACCCCTGCACTCTAACAACAAGTTACAAATATCATTGTGCTTTTGCCTTAATGCAAACAAACAGAACATAAAAACAAATTCATACAAAATTTAAGACAGGAGATCAGAGAAATTTAGTCACCCTATTATAAAGACATCTGCACCCGAATGTTTATGCAGCACGATTCACTATTGCACGGTCATGGAAACTCACCCAAGTGCCCGTCAATTCATGAATGGGTAACTAAAATGTGGTATATGCTCACAATGGGAATATTACTCAATCCTAAAGAAAGATAGTGAACTAGCAGCCGTTTATGCTATCCGTGGATTAAGGCTTAAGCCTGTTGATACAAAGCGAGGACGACACAAGACCTGGACAATGGGCTGCACATCTACTCGCCATCAATTTGGTACGGACAGCCTAAAACTATGGTGTCCAAATAATTGTAGTGTTCAACAGGGATCTGATGGGGAGAGACCCACGTCTTAAGGATGTGATGAGCATTGTAGGGGGGAAAGGATTACCTCTATCCCTTTTTAGGGAGAGGCAAAGAAACACACTGTAACCACAATGTCTAAAAACAAATGTTGTTAATGGGAGGTGAACAGGCGGAAGGGGGAGAGGGGAAGGGTACGCACTTTCATGGGGGGTGCAGGGTGAGCCACCACCTGAAGACTGGACACGCTTGAAGCTCTGGCAGAGCGGGGTGGGGAGGGGGACAGGGACAAGATATGCAACCCTAACAATATTTGTACACACAGAATTTGGGGAAAAGTAAATAAAAAAATAAGAATATTAAAGTTGGACACTCACCTAGTGTAGCATCCACCCTAGGTGATAATGTCACACTTGTTTTGATCTTTTGACCAAATCAGTAATGACCTTTCCATTTCAATATGAATCCCACAATCTGCTAGTAGGTGGAATGCTGCTTTCCCTGGACTCCTTCACACGGTCCCTCATCCCACTTACTATTCCTAATTGTTCCCATAGTTGAGCAACTGGAGCCTGATACTTTGCCAGTGAAGGATGGAATCTGGCCTTTCTCCAAATGCTTGACCATTTCTACTTTTATTTCCGTTGTCCTCACCTTTCTGTTTACTGCCGGCTCTCCTGGACTCACAGGGCACTTCTGCAGAGGAGGCCTGGTTGTGAGGGAGGCAGTCTTACGAAGCTGGAAAAAACTTATGACAGAAGTGACCCTGTGTGTGACCCGCTGCCCCACAAATTCCCCGGGGCGCGGCCCAGAGGGCGTCAGGACCCGAGCCCCTGCACCATTTCGTGGGCAGAGCACACCCTGCTAGGGCTACTGGGGGACGTGCCTGTATTTGCGGGGAGCAACTGGGGAAAAGTGGCTCCTACATGGGCTTGGTGCTCACGCCTGTGATTTCAGCATTCTGCGAGGCCCAGGCAGGAGGATCGCTCGAGCTCAGGAGTTGGAGGCTGCGGTGACATATGGTGATTCCGCTGCACTGCTCCTGGGTGTCAGAGTGAGTTTGTCAGAAAACAGAACAGCAACAACAACAAACACCAAAAGAACAAAAAGAATGGCTCTGTGTTTTTCCAAGGGGAAAGACTAGCTTTGCAATGTTTTATTTGACTTAAAATCCATTAGGAACTATTTATTAATATTGTAGGATGTACCTATGATCTGTCAGTAAATTTGAGCATATTAGTAGTTTTGGTCAGTGTAGCTAGTCCTTTTGCTTGTTTCTATTTTAAGGCTAATTTTAAAGTCTCTCTGAAATGAGTACCATCACTTCAGAAAAATTTCAATGACAGGAGGAGAATATTCATTTTCAGGAGGAACTGATACCTCTGGCTACATATTTGTACTCTTGTTATAGTTTCTACATCAGTTATTCTATTGCATTTTAATTTTAGTAAGATGAAAAAGTATTTTAAAATTCCCTAAGTCCTTGGAGTAACAAAGGAAAATCTGGTGCGGTGGTGTATACCAATCTTTACAATTTCTAAAGGTTCTAATGTTTTCAGTTGAGGCCATACTTAAAAAATTTATGTCATAGCAATTCTGTTATTTTATTTATTTATTTTTTATTTTATTTTTCTTTTTTTTTTTTTCGACGAAAAATGTCATTTGCAGCAATTCTGTTATTTTAAAATGCCACTTTTTACCCTGGAAAGAAGCAATGCATTTATGCTAACCTTACTCAGCAGGGTGGATCCCACCTTGAAACACTCTTTGAAGATTACATTTCAATGAAGTAGACCAGGAATACAAAAAAACAAGTCCTTTAATTTTTCCTCCATCTTTACAAATCTTACTGGAGGAGTGTTCAGAAACTAAAATTTGTGTTTGTTAAGACTTTGTGGCCAGGCGCGGTGGCTCTCGCCTGTAATAGTAGCACTGTGGGAGGCTGAGGCTGAAGGGTCACTTGAGGTCAGGAGTTTGAAAGCAGCCAGAGGAAGAGAGAGACCCCATATCTACTAAAAATAGAAAGAAATTAGCTGGAAAACTAAAAATATATCTATAAAAATTTAGTGGGCCATGGTGACCTATGCCTATAGTGCCAGCTACTCAGGAGGCTGAGGCAGGAGGACTGCTTGAGTCCAAGAGTTTGAGGTTGCTGTGAGCTAGGCTGACACCAAGGTACTCTAGCCCAGGCAACAGAATGAGACTCCATCTCAAAAAGGAAATAAAAAAGTCCTTCATGCTGTTGTGGGTTTCAAGGTGTAATATTGGTGATGTGAAATGAGTGCCCTTTGCCCAGAGAGGCACCCCTGTGATTATAAACAACTTGTTTGGTAGACATGGGCTTCCTGCTCTGTCCTCACTGTCTGCCTTAAATCCACAATAAACAGATTAAAGAAATATAGAGCCACTATACCTTTTTTTGTTATTCCTCTGTTAATTGATAACTATCTCTTAGAACTTAGATGTTAGCCCCTGAAAGACTTTGTACCTGTTTGTTCACCTAGATAGATTAGAAATTGTTAGAAGCCCTTTGAGAGGACTTTTGACCCTAACCCACTACCTGTGTAATCCTCTTGCCATAACAACTGCACTATCTGATATGTAAATGTGTCACTATGGCAACTAGTAATTGATATCTATGATTTAAAAAATCTATGTGAATCTGACCATACTGCTGGACCATTCATTAGGATGTGTTCCAGACTCCTGAGTACCCCTGCTGTTATTCTGAACTTCTTATATAAAACTAAACTATACCTCAGTCTCTGTGTATTCTATTATTCTATTTCCTATCCATTTTCTTATCCTCTGTGGCGACCCCTATCTATGGGACCTGGCTTCACAGGGAGAAGTACCTCATCTCACAGCACTGCCAATCCCTGCACCGTATATTAGAGCACCCCATCCTCACCACCTTCCTTTTAATAAACTGTGACTCCAAGGTGGTACATTTTTTTACACTTGAGCAACCTACACTGACAATCACAATCACACAAAGCCTAGTTGACATTAGGGTTCACTCTCAGTGCTGTGCATACTCTGTGAGTCGACAGTGTGTAACGACAGGTGTTCACAACTCAGAGCATCGTACAGAATAGTTTCAATGTCCTAAAACTTTGTGATTCTCTAATGAATCCATCCCTCCAACTTCTCTTCACTGACTCCATGCTTTTGGCTCTTACAGCCTGTCATGCCTTTGTAATAATACAGGGTGGGTCCCTGTTGGATGAGCTTCTTTCGCTTAGCAATGTGCATTTAAGGTACTTCCATGTCTTTTCATGGCTTGATAGCTGATTTCATTGTGCAATGAATGATGCCCCATAGTCTTGATGTGCTGGTTTATTTATCCATTCACCTACTAAAGGACATCTTGTTTGCTTATAAGTTTTGAAAACTATTTTTAAAAAGCTACTATACCTATCACTGTGCAGATTTTGTTTGCATATGTTTTGAACTGATTTGTGAAAATGCCAAGGAGTGTGGTTGATTAATTGTATGGGAGGAGTATGTTTGATAGCTTTGTAAGAAACTGCCTTCCAAAGTGGTGGTAACATTTTGCATTCCCAGCAGCAATGAATGAGAGTTCCTGTTGTTCCGCATCCTCACCAGCATTTCATGTTGTCAGTGTTTTGTATTTTACCTAGTGTAATAGAAGTTCAGTGTCATCTCATTGTTGTTTAAATTTGCAGTTCCATAATGACACATCATGTTGAGAATTTTTTCATATGTTTATTTGCCATTTTTTAATCTTCTTTGATGTCTGTTCAGGGCTATTTCCCATTTTTTCATTAGGTTGCTAAGGTCTGTTTGTTGTGTTTAAAGTATTCTTGGTATATCTTGAATAATATTCCTTTCCAGATATGTATTTTGGAAATATTTTCTTCTCCTACATATGGTTTGTCTTCTCATTCTCTTATCAATGTCTTTGTCAAAGTTCTTGTGTTTTTTGGTTTTTCCTTTTACATTTCAATGAAGGGCCACACATTATTACTATAGTTAAAGATATATAGATTATCTACTGTTTTGTTCTGCAAATTGTATAGGTTTTTTGTTGTTGCTTAAATTTAGTCTATGATCCATTTTGTGTTAATTTTTAGCAGAATGTAAAAACATGTCTAGATTCATTTTTAACTTACAAGTGGATAATCAATTGTTACACATTATTTCTCAAAGAAAAGACTATCATTTCTCCATTGTACTGCCTTTGTTTCTTTATGAAATATCATCTGAATGTATTTGATGTGTACATAGCTGGCTTCTGTATGTGGTTCCATTTGTCTTTTTGACTATAGTTTCCCCAATATCAACATCTCTGGATTACTATATGACGTATTAAAGTTAGTTAACATCAGTCCTCTGACTTTCTTTTTATTCAGTATTCTCTTGGTTATTCCTGGCCTCGTTCCTCCTCAGATGTACTTTAGAAAGAGTTCCTCAATCATCCAGAATTTCATGCTGATTTAGAGTGAGATTGTGTTGAATCTGTATATCAAGTTGAAAAGATTTGACATCTTGACAATATGCAGTCTTCTATGGGTAAAATGGAATATGTTTTTACTTATTTTGCTCTTTGATTTCTTTCATCAGAATACTGTAGTTTTCATCAAATAGATCTTGTACATATTTTGTTGGATTTAAAAAGTATTTCATTTTGGAAAGTGGTAATTTAAATGGTAATGCACAATTCACTATTGCACGGTCATGGAAACTATCCAAGTGCCTGTCAATTCATGAGTGGATAACTAAAATGTGGTATAAGCTCACAATGGAATATTACTCAATCCTAAGAAACGACAGTGAGCTAGCACCGTTTATGCTGTCTTGGATTAAGCTTAAGCCCGTAATACAAAGCGAGACGACACAAGATTTGGGAAAGGGGCTACACATCTACTTGTTATCAAATTGGTACGATTGACTAAAACTACGGTGCTCAAAAAATGGTAGTGTTCAACAGGGATTTAGGGGGGAGACCCACATTTTAAGGAAGTGGCGAGCATTGTGGGGGGGGAAGGGATTACCTCTATCCCTTTTTAGGGAGAGATAAAGATATACATTGTAACCAAAAAATAAAAAAAGAAAAAGAAAATAAATAGTAATGCATTTTAAATTTAAAATTCTAGTTTTTTGCTGCTGGTATATAGGAAAGCAATTTAGTTTGCATATTGATCTTGTATTCTGCAACCTTACTATAATCACTTACTCTAGAAATTGTTTTGGTTGATTACTTTAGATTTTGTACATAGAAAATCCTGTCGTCTGTAGAAAAAGGGAGTTTTATTTTATTCTTTCCAAACATCATGCTCTTTATTTCATATTATTGCATCAATTAGTACTTCCACATTGAGAAGGAGCGATAATAAGAGACATCATTACTTTGGTCCTCATCAGCAGGATAACTTGTAGTTGCTCACTACATAGGTTATGATGGTCACTATAGATTTTTTGATATGCTTTATCAAGTTGAGGAAGTTTCTTTCTGTTCCTACTTTGATCAGAGTTTTACCCTGAATGGGTGTTGAAATTTTTCAAATAGATTTCTGCCAATTTATATGATAATTTTTTTTCTTCTTCAGGATATCCATGGAATAGATTGTATGAATTATTTGTTTAAATGTTGAACCAAGTTTACATAAACCCTACGTGGTTATGGCTTGTAATTACTTTTTGTACATTGTTGCATTTGATTTGCCAATATTTTGTTCAGATTTCTGCATCTGTGTTAATGGAAATTTTTTGTACTTTTATTTTCTTATAATGTTTTTGTCTGATTGTGGTACTCATGACCTCTTAGAATGAGTTAGAAGGTGTACTCTCTGCTCCTATCTTCTGTATGAGTTTACGGAGAATTCTTACAGATTAAAAATTGGTAAAATTAACTTGTGAACCAATCTGGGCCTTATCCATTTTGTTTTGGAAAGTTATTGATTATTGATTCAGTATCTTTGATTTTCATAGACGTATTCAGATTGTCTATTCCTTTTTGTCTAAATTTAGAAGACCATGTCTTTCAAAGACTTGGTCCAGTTGATCTAGCTATTGAGT